TTCGTGTAAATTTACACGAAATAAAACAAATTTATGAAAAAAAAAAAAGGCTTTTCGTGTTATATTGCACGAAATGCAGTGTTTCATTTCGTGCAATACAACACGAAATGCATAAAAATGTCAAAATTCGATAAAAAAAATACGTTTTTATCTCAAAATTGAAGTAGGTTTCTTTCGTATTGATAATTACTGTATTTTAATTGATATTATCTGAAAAAATTGACGATTTGAAAAGTTTAAAAATTCGGAGGTTGAGAGAATTTAGAAAAAAGTTAAATGAATTCTTGACAAATGAATTATTTCGCACTGTAACTGGAAAAAATTGCACTATGAATAGTAAACCCCTATTTTTATTGCTCCCGTTCTGGACGTGAAACACGCTATTTTGCCCCCGTTTTGGGTATAGATAAGTAGAAATACAAACTTGTGCAATCCTAAAAAGTGAAGGTTTTTGAAAATTAAAACGGTATTTGTAAAAATAGAACGGCACTTATCAAGTCCCAATATTAATTTTAAATGCAATAAAATACTTTCAGGAATTAGGCTGGGGTCGAATATGATTTTCGGATACTCAAAGGGCCAATCACTTTGCTTAATACTCACTCACATGCTTCATGTGAAAACTATGATGTATAATTTGTATTAATACAATAATGATCGGTCAGTTTCAGGGGTATATTTGTAATTATCAATACCATATGAACTTAAAGTTATTATAACATATTTCAAGGGTCGATTGTAATCTACTCTTAAAGAATTTTTAATGCAAATCTCGATCTGAATTGAGTCTATATTATAAATTTTGATTTATCTAATAATAAAAGTATTGTAGCCACTCGAAAATCAATCATGAAAATCTATGAGAAGAATGTTACATACATGTTACCTGCACCCAATGAATTTTTAATCAAGAAGATGAGTCAATGATAATTCAATATTGTTGTGGATAATAATTATATTATTGCAAGTAATGTGAACGTGTGGAGGAATAACCTTTGTTGGCATAAATTCAATAATTCATGTTCACTACTAATAATTAATTAATAATTATAAGCCTCGTTGACATTACATTCTTTTACCATTGAAGGTCTATTATTGCATTAATGCACTTTTTTGCATCAAATAGAGGAAATCCAAAAAGGGTAACAATCTTTGAACTTTTTCGCAATTCACACGTTTACTCGTTATTTCTATACTATACTCAGTGAAAGTTGCAGTTTGTGGATTTCTATCGTTGATCTGCACACATCAGTATGGGGTTATACGCGTGTTTGTGTGTATATAAATAGTAAACATCTATTCAGTGTAGCATAATTTAAACTCACGCAGCCACACTTAATTACTTAGCTTATTTTGTTATAAATTCAGATTAGTCAAAATAAAATTAAGTTAACATACGCCTAAACTAGAGTTATTTGTTCTATAGATGATTTTTTATTGTACAAAAGAAATTGGTAAGATAAAAGATGTACCTCATAGTGATCACATTAAGCATGTATCATGTGTATCCTTTGGTAAGGTTATCTTTTTTTTTTTTTTTTTTTTAATGCAGGAACCCGCAGCCAACCATATAGGTGCACTGGGTAAACCTACACTCTCGTATAATAGCTTGCAAACCATACGAGAGATGTAAACCACACTAGGCTAACCATGTGTGACAAGCTCGACCTAGCGACCGTTGACAAGGGGATTCGAACTTGGGTCAATTGACCCAAGCTCTCTTGCTCCAACTGCTAGGCCACCCTTGCGGGTTTTGGTAAGGTTATCTTTAAATTGATGTATGATCACATAATATATTTGATATTATAAATCTAAGTTTTGGAAAGAAAAAAAAGGATTTTCTTTATATTTTGAATATTAAAATTGGATCGGTAATCGGATATCAGAAAGTAAATATATTCCAATTTCAATTTAAGATAAATCAAACCTCGTAATTTCGAAATTCAAAGTGAAATATATTATTTCAAAAAGATCGGAATCAGCTAAATTCAAATAAATAACAATAATCATTCTAACTTCCATTTTTTCATCCTTACTTATAGTACATATTGTGGGAAAGGGTCATTTTTCATCCTTACTTAATACATTATTATGTTTATTACATGACAATAATAATTATAATAAAATTTATTAGTAATATCGATAAAAAAATCAATATTTATACAAATTTGAAAATACAAACTCATTCTGGAATATATATATATACTTAATAGTCGTAATAAGAAATTGATAATTAAATAAATGAAGAAATTGATAATTTGAGAAAATAGATTGAAAAAGAATTGATAAAAATAATAATAACAATTAAAAATATTATCACTTGTTAGTGTTTCTTATGTGTTTATTTGTTTTATATATAAAAAATGAGAAGGAGTGGAACTTAAAATCATATTCAACAAATAAAAAAAATAAAGTTGATTATCTAGTTTAAAACATCAAAAAGTCAAACAAATTGATTAAGTAATTAGTTACCAATTCCGAGTTAAGAATGGATTAAATCATTAAATAATAATAATAATAATTCGCCCACCAACCTTGTCTGTATTTTACTGCACAGAGGTGGTGAGCGGCGTTGAAGAAAGACTTTGGTGAAAGTGAAGTTCGTGGGCACACAGAAACCCAAATAATTATTTGCCCTATTTAATTACTCCTTACTCTTGGATGCTACCTATATATAAAACTTAACACCCAGCTAAAGATTCAAAGCAGAGTACAAAGTGATACAAAGTTTGCAGAGCAACAATGGCGGATGTGTACGGTAATACTAGAGGAGGAGGGCTGCTGCTCGGTGTTTCAATGTGCGGCGGCGGCGGCGCTCAGGCGCGCGAGATAGAACAGATGTCCAGAGAAGGCAGCCAATACAGCCTTTCCACCGGGATTCTCCCTTCTCTCGGCGCCAGAAGTAATCGCAGAGTCAGGCTTCGTTCTTCCATTGTTTCGCCTTACGACCGCCGTTACAGGTTCCTCCATTTTTTTTTCCGACGGAGAATTGTTCTGTGCAGTTGAAAGTTGTGTACCGTTGATGTATTTGCATGTGGAATAAATTTATGGGCGTGTTTTTGTAATGAAGTCCAGGTGTTTGATTATATGCCTCTTTGACGAAAGCTAATTTCATGAACTTTGATCTAAGTGTTCGATTTGTCAAAAAAGATTCTTTCGAATTTCTCTCAGTTGTGTCCATCTCTTTCCTTTCTTTATTGATTATTGACTTTGAATTTTGTTTGTTCTCTATTACTGAAAAAATCACCTCATGTTGTTGCAGAGGATGGCAGAACTTTCTGGTTGCGCTGGTTGTTTACACCGCTTGGGTGTCGCCATTCGAATTCGGGTTTCTTGATAAACCAACGGGACCCCTCTCCATCACGGACAACGTTGTCAACGGATTCTTCGCAATCGACATTATTCTTACATTCTTCGTAGCCTACCTTGATAGAAGTACATATCTTCTTGTTGACGATCCGAAGAAGATTGCTCGTAAGTACGCAACTTCTTGGTTGGCCTTGGATATCATATCTACTATCCCTTCTGAACTTGCTCGAAAAATCTCCCCAAAACCTTTACGTACCTATGGATTTTTCAACATGCTCCGCCTCTGGCGTCTCAGAAGAGTCGGCGCCTTATTTGCCCGGTAAAATAATTTTCATTTTTTTTTTAGCAAGAAACTCAATATGTGTATATATACATATACATATTTATTTATACATCACTCAATCTTACATTTTTCCCCTGTGGAAAAACAGATTGGAGAAAGATAGGAATTTCAACTACTTTTGGGTTAGGTGTGCGAGGCTTGTTTGTGTAAGTTCATTTTTTTTATATCGGTGGAAAATTTGTGGCGAAAGTATGGTGTTCGTTGAGCTATCGTGTTTCTTGTTCTGCAGGTTACTCTTTTTGCAGTTCATTGTGCTGGTTGCTTCTATTATCTACTTGCTGCTCACTACCCCAATCCAGCAAAGACATGGATTGGAGCAGCTATGAATGATTTTCGTGAGCAAAGTCTTTGGATTCGTTATGTCACTTCGATTTACTGGTCCATCACTACTCTCACAACTGTTGGCTATGGAGATTTGCATGCTGAAAATATGAGGGAAATGATATTCAACATTTTCTACATGCTGTTTAACTTGGGACTCACTGCATATCTGATAGGAAATATGACAAATTTGGTTGTCCATGGCACTAGCAAGACTCGTCAATTCGTGAGTAACTTTTTGCTACTATATTTCATTCGACTTCTTTGCCTTGAATTAACTGATTTTTATTTAATTTAATTAGAGAGATACCATTCAAGCTGCTTCAAGTTTTGCACAAAGGAATCAATTGCCAGGTCGCCTTCAAGACCAGATGCTTTCACATTTGTGCTTGAAGTTTCGAACCGACTCAGAGGGGCTGCAGCAGCAAGAGACTCTCGATTCACTTCCAAAAGCAATTCGGTCGAGTATTTCCCATTTCCTTTTCTACTCTCTAGTAGATAAGGTATACTTGTTTCGTGGAGTTTCCAATGATTTACTCTTCCAGCTGGTAACTTTTTCAAAACTATTTCATATTTTTTCTTCCCTTTTTTTTCATTTATAAACTTATGCGACTGTCTTATCTCGTACTTCTTCTGTACCAAAGGTCTCCGAGATGAAGGCAGAGTATTTCCCTCCCAAAGAGGATGTAATCTTGCAGAACGAAGCACCAACTGACTTTTATATTCTTGTCACTGGGGCAGTGGTAAAATTTCAATTTTGAATTAAATAATTTTATGCTACATTTTCCCGAGTAGCTTCGTAAGCCTGTTTTACACAATCCCATCTCATGGTGTATAAATTTCTTTGCAGGATATATTGGTTCAAAAGAATGGAGTTGAAGAGGCAAGTCTGAATTAAAAGAAAGTGATTGCAATCCTTTTTTTTTTTTTTTTTTTTTTTTTGCATAAAAGAAAGCATGACTAAAACTAGAACGAATAATTGCAGCCTATGGGAGAGGCCAAAACTGGTAAGATCTGTGGTGAAATTGGCGTACTTTGTTACAGGCCTCAATTGTTCACAGTTCGAACGAAAAGATTAAGCCAGCTATTACGACTCAACCGCACCACATTTATGAACATTGTTAAGGCCAACGTTGGAGATGGCACAATTATTATGAATAACCTTCTGCAGGTCTATCTCTATATATGCCCGTGACATTCTTTTTTTCAATATATGGATAGCCATATTTTAAGGAGTGTCGTTTTTACATTGGTTATTTTTCCTGATTTTCAGCATTTGAAGGAAATAAACGATCCAATAATGGAGGGAGTTCTGCTCGAGACTGAGAACATGCTTGCTAGAGGAAGAATGGACCTACCATTAACTCTATGTTTTGCAGCACATAGAGGAGACGATTTATTATTGCATCATTTGTTGAAGAGGGGTCTCGATTCTAATGAATCTGATAGTAATGGAAGAACAGCTCTTGTGAGTATACGAATCTCAGCTATAGTGACATTTTTCAAAACAGGCAAACTTTTATCACAAGTTTCTGATTTTTTTTGTTTTTTTTACTTTTTTAATTTTTTTTGAAATGCAGCATATAGCTGCATCAAAAGGAAGCGAGAACTGTGTGCTTCTATTACTGGATTTTGATGCAGATGCCAATAGCCGAGGTAAAATTTCTCCCGTTGTTATATTGTCAAGATTGATTTTTTCTAATCATTTTGCAAGTTGACTTTCATACTGCATTTTTCTGTTCATTTATTCCATAACCGACTTCCATTGGTCGAACAGTTGAGAAATGATTGTAGAATATAAGTTGATATTAGGCATAGCCTGTTGTAGGGGTATCAATATCGTTAAAGTCGTTTTCACAAAAATCCAATAATGCATCAAATTGACATTTTTTAAGATCTTCATAATGGTTTGTTACGACTATAGTATTTAATTTAAATGCCGTTGCCACACCTATATCAATTTCTTTTATTTTTCGCAACAATCAATTAATATATAGCCTTTCTACAAAGTTTCAACTAACTTTCACCGACATTCGGTTTTCATCAGAAGTCTTTCTATTTGTGGTTGTGATTTACTATGATTGGCATTATTTTTACCTATAAATATTTTTATCTAATAATTGTCAGTTGACTATATTGCTAATGGATCTGGATTTGATCTTTGGGGCCCACTAATTCAAATGCATTATTAGTAGATGATTAGTAGTGGGCTCTACATGAGTTATGGCTAGATTAATTAGTCAAACCTATTTTTGTATTTGCCATTTAGTCTTTCACATTAGTTGACTTTTCTGAACTCAAGTTGCGATTAAATGTTCATTTTGAATACAGTATACGATATGTCATCTTGCCCGATTATAGTTCATTAATATCATTATCAGCTTATGTAACTTCAAATGGACACATTTATTGGGGACAATGTACAGAGAAATGGTGGCTCAAAACTCTAAAGTACATTAATTGACCTTTGAAACACCAAAGGGACAAAACTAGGAATGGGAATGAAAGTTCGGAATCCGCCGATTCCGATCCGAATATTTTCGACTTTGGAACAATATTTTCATTCCAAATTCCGAAAGATCCGATTTTTTCCAATTTTTTTTTTTTGTAACAGAATTGGAATATGTATTAGATTCCAATTTTCGATCCAATTTTAATTTCCAAAAATATTTCCAGATATTCCGATTCTTTTTCCCAAAACTACACTTATAATATTAAGTACTCTATATTATGTGGCAAAAAAAAAAATAGAAATTCCAAAATTTTCGATTTTGGAACAAGTTTTTTCATTCCAATTCTGATTTCTGATTTTTCTGAAGATTTTTAAAACAGAACTGATTAGTTTTTCATTTCCGGAAAAAAAAAATTGGAACTTTTTTGGAGGTCCGATTTTCAATCCGATCCGTCCGATTTCCCAGACAAAAGAAATAGGATTTTGTTTTAATTAATTATTTATTCCTTTTTTTTGTTTTTGCTGAATCTGCGCAACTTTTGTCGCGTATGCAGATTCAGAAGGGAGTGTACCACTCTGGGAAGCAATGCTAGGACGGCACCAACCAGTCATAAAGCTACTGTCAGACAATGGTGCTAAACTGACCAACGGTGACATAGCTCTATTCTCCTGCATCGCAGCCGAGCAAAACAATTTAGAATTGCTCAAAGAAATCGTCAGTCACGGTGGAGACGTCACCCAACCAAAAAGCAACGGGTGCACATCTCTCCACATGGCCGTATGCGAGGGCAATATCGAAATAGTCAAATTTCTTTTGGACCAAGGTGCAAATATTGACAAAGGAGACGAAAATGGCTGGACAGCAACAGACCTTGCAGAGCAGCAAGGCCACGATGAAATTAAGGAACTCTTTGATTCCTACAAAGGGCCCACCAAGTACATCGAACCAGCGCCAGCTGATGCGATCTCAGAGGAGCGCGGGGTTCGTTTCTTTGGAAGATTCAAAAGCGAGACAACTATGTTACCTGCAGTTAGCAAGGAGAGCTCGTTTCATAGGCGTAGGACTAACAATTTCTATAATTCACTTTTCGGGATTATGTCTGCAGCACAAACTGGAGAGACTGCGTCGACTGAAACTGTAGAGAATAGTACTACTACAGGTGCAACGGTTAGTAAAGCTTATGGTGCTAGAGTGACAGTGAGCTGCCCCGATAGAGGAGATTTTGCGGGGAAGCTCGTACTTCTCCCAAAGAGCTTTAAAGAATTACTCGAAATCGGAGCTAAGAAATATGGCTTCTTCCCTGCAAAAATCTTGATAAAAAATGGTGCTTCGATTGATGATATAGAGCTTGTCAGAGATGGTGATCATTTAGTTTTCGAGTGACTGCAAAGTGGTCTTTCGTTTAGTGGTATGATTGTTTTCTTTAACACGTGATTGATTAAATTATCCAGTCGTCCAACTAGATCAGATCCAAAAACTATCTCATGTAAAGAATATACAAAAAAAAGAATATGGTATGAAGTTACTGAACTGTATGTATTGTCTGAACATATACAGTCTGAATAAAAAAAATGTCTTAATCCTTCATGATTGATGTTGGCCAAGGCTTCAGTTTTCTTTCATCGATGTAATCTGGTACGGTGAAGAGATTCTTGTTTTCTTTACTCTGTTTCTTCCTGTAAAAAGATTTGCCTTTACTAAAACAGAGTAGACAAGAACCATTGAGAGACAGAGATGACTGACTGCATACCTCGGTTCCTTTTGTCTGGTGAGAAGAACGAGTAGTCCAAAACCGAAAATGACTGCAACTTTTATTACCTGATAAGTTGCAAGAAATAAAATTACTCAGCAATTATTCTATATGGACCTATTTTTAATCTAAATAAATATACATCACCTGTCCAAGAAATCCATTAGACGAGTCATCTGGAGAGCTACCGCATCCTGATTTTGTCCGGTCGACGATTTTTTTCTGATTCTGCAGATACATAAAATTAGCACAGACTACAATGACACTAATCAATCGAAAAGTTTCCTACCTTTCGGCAGAACAATATTTATACATTTTTTTTATAAATTTAAATAATTACGAAATTATACCTTCTCCAGCACTTCTGATTCTGAAGAAATCTTCTTTGCATGACGGGTTTTAGCTTCATCTTGGTCACCTCCTACTATTTTTCTATCCTGCTTATTACCTGCAGTTGTGATACACAAACGTTTTGTGTTATCTGGAAATATCCACATACCAGAGGTTTCAGCTGAATAATACTCCTCCTCTTTACAATATTCGGGTGATTTCGGTTTCGGATTTGAAGCCACTTGAATGTTGACCATGGTTGACCTCTTCAAGCTGGTTTCTCTTCCTCTCCCACTTCCACTTCCTTCTTCTTCACCCGAAGATTCAGAAGAATTTAGCAGCTCTGAAGAAAGCTCACAAGCTTCACTTTCTTGAAATTGTTCCTCAGGCTTCCCCTCAGAAGTCGTTGCTGTTTCTGAAGTGGATTGCCTTGTTAAATCAACTGACGACCTTTCAAGTCCCTCGATAGCTGATTCTCTAGAAGATTCTTTAGCCAAATCATCGATATTTGAATCATTTCCACCTGCTGAAAGCATGGGCATATCAGAGCTTGGAGCTGGATAACAGTCTTTATGATATTCTGGTATTGAAGCCACTTGAATGTCGACCATGGTTGAGATTTTCGAGTTGGTTTCTTTTCCTATTCCATTTTCACTTACTTCTGCAACTGAAAATTCAGAGGTTGTTGCTGTTTCTGAAGTGGATTGCCTCGTTAAATCAATTGGGGATCTATCCAGTTCCTCCATAGTTGATTCTTTTGAAGCTGTTGAGAGCACATCCTCAATTTTTGAATCATTTCCCTTCGATTTGATAATTGTTACAGTTGAAGTCAACTCTTTTAGGGGCTCAGATTTTCCACTGAGAGCAGTTGGCTCTTGATGCAAGTTTCCATCAAACTGATTCTTCAAATTTCTCGAGCTTTTAACAGGTGGATTTATGACGGTCTTTGATTCTCTATCCTCTAATAATCCTTCGACTGTAAATCTGTTTAATTGGGATGGCACCGAGGATACTCTCTTCATGGATTTCACTTCCTGCTCGAAATCCAAACGGACCGTGTACAATCAATAAAATAACCAGAGTATACCAACAAAACTCAAATGTAAGTACTACCTGAAGTTGAGTATTCTCAAAGGCACTTATCATTTTCCTCACATTGCTAGGAATTCTCTTCACAGGACCTTGATTTTCGGATTTTTTTACGGGTTCATCCTGCAACTTGGAGGGAACTAAAATTTTCTTGTCCCACATAGAGGGAGAAGCACTTTCTTCCTCAATGTTTAATCTTATATTAGCAAGTGGCTGTATTTCGATTTTCTCATCTGGCACCGGTTTTTTATGTACTTGAGGAGATTCTATTTCGATTTTCTCATCTGGCACCAGTTCTTTATGTACTTGAGGAGATTCTATTTTGATTTTCTCATCTGGCACCGGTTCTTTATGTACTTGAGGAGATTCTATTTCGATTTTCTCATCTGGCACCGGTTCTTTATGTACTTGAGGAGATTCTATTTCGATTTCATTTTTATCGGGAGAAGATGGAGCGTCCTGACTTGTATCTGTAGCATTCTAATACAGGGCAACTTTTGATTATTACATGAAAACAAATAAATCTGTTGGTCGAAACAAAAAACGTACAACTCATAATTCCTTAACTGGGATTGCAATTTCAAGAATGCTTTGTCCGTGCTTTTGGTAAATAGACAGTGAGAGGGCAGAGGTCAAAGACAAACCAGCTTGAGAGGCTTCAACTTTAGTGCTCATTACATCTATTGCAACAATCGCTTTTTCGGAATCTTAAAACACGCAGCATTAATGCAATCATTAAAACTTCCTCTAAAATAGGAAGACTTCAATGTAAAACTAACCTGAGACCGTCTGTTCGTTTTTTCTGGATGTGTCAACAGAATCACCACTAGAATTAACGGTTTCTGAAAGTCTAAGATTGATGTTCTTCATTTCAAGTTTCTTCTTCACTGCAGATTCTCTCTTTAAACCAAAAAAAAGGCAAACAGCACAGTCATATTATCGTACATTTTATCATCAGAAATTATTGTAATGCATATTCGCGTAAATATATTCTCCCAAAAAGTACCACAATGCGAATGCGATTGCGCTCTTCATCACTGAGGATGAATTGCAACTTCATGTGCACATTTCCACCTCCATCGATGGGGAAAACCTCATCCCAAGATCCCTTCTCCATGACTTGCATTGTCCGAATATCTATCCAAAAAGCAACACGACCAATCAAATTACGCCCTTGCCCCTTTGTGAAAACCAAGACAAAAACAAATAAATTAAGCAGCATAAACAGGCGATCCAATTCACCTGCACGAGCTATTTCGTTTCCCCCAGCATCCAGAAGAGCAACGACTAGATCCTCACGAAGTTTTGTTATGGGGCTGTAAAAACATCACCATTTTTTTTTCCTGTTTACTAAATTAAATCCTCACGAAGTTTTACACATTTTATAAGAGTCTTGAATCAAAGTCAAAGTTCAGAATCATTACAAAGAGAAGTCTCCCTTGTCCCAAGTCTGATACTGGCGTTTTCCCATCGAAACTGGTAAATAAAATACAAGAAAACAAGATAATAAGAAACACTCTCACATCAAGAAACACCATTAAAAGTAAAGGTAAGAGTTATTTAACCTCTCAGGGATTTAGCAGAAGGCTTTGATGAAGATGAAACCCCCTTGAATTCCAGTACTACAAAGAGTCAGATCATTAATATAAACTATATAAATTATTCCCATTTGAAAATACAGTTAGTAGTGATTAGAAATACAGAATACCTGTAACTTGTATGGTTCCTGGCATTGGAAACAAACACAAGAACTCCGTTGCCCAAATTGGGCAAAGTAAAATTTCAAGAATTTCTGTTACACATGAAACAAAATCTGAAATTACTGGGCCAAATCAGCAGGAATTTGTCTGATTGAATGTTGTCGAAATAAAAATAAAAATAAAAATAAAAAGGATTGGCTGAGAGGATATGGGTGGATGGAACTGTAATTGAAGTGGGGCCATTACTTACAAAGAAGAAGGTGGTGTTGATTAGACACCACAAAAAAAATCTCTCCTTTTGTCTCACTCTAAAAGCACCGAGTTACAAAAAGGGGGAAAATAAAAACTCCGAAATTGAATTAGGGCTCCATTTTCATGGCGGAAAGGAGGGGACCAGCTTCAATTTAATTCATCAAAAGCTCTGCATTTACAGCAGAGCCGACTTCTCTCTCCTCGCATCGTGGAATCCCCAAAAATTGTAAATCAAAATTAGGTCATGAGAATTAAGTAACTAACCGTCAACATCTGGACGAATTATGCGAAGAATCCTTCTCTCTCAGCTCATGGCAGAATTTTTGTACTGAGTGATATATAAACTCGTCGGAATTCGCTAATCTTCACTGTTAATCTTCATCGTTCTTTTCATTTGAGATGTCCGTCGTCATTTTCTGGGATAATTACACTTTTCGTCCCTATACTTTACCACTTATTCGTTTTTCGTCCTTAAACAAGTTGGAGTGACATTATTCATCCCTAAACATGCCATTTTTCTGCTATTTTCGTCCCTCCGTCAATTTGGCTGGTTAGTTTGGACGGAAAATAACATGTGCTTCGCACATGATACGTAAGAGTCAATCCATCTCTTCAATTTCAGATTGCATCTTCTTTAGAACATAAGCCTTATTTTCCAAATGGCTAATTTCTTCAATATCACTCCTCTTTGGACTCGTAATAGCCTCAATAATCCCCAAAATACAATTTTTTTCCATCATACAAATCTGATGCAATGTAATTTATATTTTGAATGATGTTTTTCTTCAAAGAGAAGATGTTAATTAATATATTTGGATTTTTTGAATGAAATTGTAATATGTTAAGCTACTCAACAAGAATTCTTTGTTTTGTTACATATTGAGGATTTGCCTGATTTGCAATTTTGTAAACTTTAATTTAGTTTACCTAAACTTATTGGTCATTATCTTCATATATGAAGAAAAACCCAATTGACGTTAACTACTCATTTAAACAAAAAAAATTGTCA